TGTGTGTTTCCTGGGTTCTCCTTCTTGCCCTTCTTGAAGATTGGAGTTACATTGGCTATCCTCCAGTCCTCAAGCACCTCTCCACGACCTTTCAAAGATGAGGGACAGCGGCTTTGCAATGGCATCCGCCAGCTCCTTCCACACTCGTGGGTGTCTAGTTTACCTAAAAGATCCCTAACCCAATCCTTCTCAACCAAGGGGTAGTCTTCCTTTCTTCTGCCTGCTTCCGTTACTGCCAGAGGCAGGGATTCCTGAGGTCCAGCTTTAGTAGCAAAGACTGAGGCAAAGGTGGCATTCAACATCTCTGCCTTCTCCATATCCTCCATCACCAGGGTACCCGCAATGGGCCCACAGTTTCCCTGGCCTTCCTTTTACTACCAATGTATTTGAAGAAGCCCTTCTTGTTGTTTTTGACATCCTTGGCTAGATTTAATTCCAAGCAGGCCTTAGCTTTCCTCCTTGCATCCCTGCATTCTCTGGCAGTGTTTCTATATTCCTCCCAGGGGACTAGCCCCTTTTTCCACCTGTTGTAAATTTCTTTCTTTCCTTTAAGTTTTTCCAGAAGCTCCTTGTCCATCCAAGCAGGCCTCCTGCCTCCTTTGCTTGACTTCTTCCTCATAGGAATGCACCAATCTTGAGCTTGGAGGAAGTGCTGCCTGAATAGCAACGAGCTCTCTTGGGCCCCTCTGCCTTCTAGAGCCCCAGCCCACGGGATTCCTCCAAGTAGGTTTTTGAGGAGGCTGAAGTTGGCTCTCTTTAAAGTCCAGGGTTGCAATCCTGCTTATTGACCTGCTTCTTCCACACAGGACCCTGAACTACACCATCTTGTGGTCACTACAGCCAAGGGTGCCCCCAGCCTTCATGACTCCGACCAGTCCTTCTTTGTTTGTCAGTACGAGGTCCAGCAGCGCCCCTCTCCTCGTTGGTTCCTCCACTACCTGTGTCAAAAAGTTATCATCAGTGCTCTGTAGGAACCTCTTGGACTGTGGCTGCTTGGCTGTGTTCCTTTTCCAGCAAATATCACGGTAGTTGAAGTCCCCATGAGAACCAGAGCCTATGATTGTCAGGCTGCTTTCAGCTGGCTGTAGAAGGCCTCATCGACTTCCTTCTCCTGGTCAAGTGGCCTGTGGTAAACACACACAATAGTGTCACCCATATTAGCTTGCCCCTTAAATCTCACCCATAAGCTCTTGACTTGTTGTTGTTCCTCCTCTGGGCAAAGCTCAATACATTCCAGATCCTTCTTCACATACAGGGCAACTCCCCCCACCTCACCTGGTTGGCCTGTCTTTTCTGAAGAGCACATAGCCATCCATGACAGTATTCCTGTCATGTGAGCTATCCCACCACGTCTCCATTATTGCTGTGAGATCGTGGCGCTGCAACCACGCACAGATCTCTACCTCTTCCTGCTTGTTCCCCATGCTGCGTGCGTTGGTGTACAGGCGAGGTAATTGAGCACGCAGGTTTCCCTGGAGGGGTGGAGGAGGATCTACCATAGCTATACATGCCCTTGAGGCAGTTGGCCTTCTGGTTTTCTTCTGGAGAGGCAGCTAAGGGACACTTGTTGCTGCTCCGCTTGGTCCCTGGCACCTTCTGCTCTGACTGCAGAGTCTTGCTCAAAATCACTCCCACAAAGAGCCTGCAACTCAGTTACTCGTGCTGGTGTTGTGCTTAGGGATCACCCTGCAACCTGTGCAGAGTGAAGCATTTAAAAAGCAATTAGCCGTGCCCTTAAAAAGCAATTAGCAAAACATCTTAATGTATTTTGGCCTTCCTGGTTTTGAGGGACTGTATTCTCAGCTGGAAAAGCCTGGAGTTTGCTCCAGGGCCCGCCGCCATCTGTCCCTCTGAAAATGACTATAATAAAATTATAATTGTTCATGTCTGTCGCTTTTGCTGGTTATTCCCTGTTTCTTTTGGCCAACAAGTGTCAAGATGCTTTCCCAGCTGGTGCCTAGCTGGGGGGACAGTGGTTCAGGCTGGCTCACTTAGCAAAACTTTAGGCCTCAGGCTAAGCCTGAACCACTGTCCCCGCACCTAGCCTCTTCTTTTGGATGATTTGCCATTAACAGCTCCTTCCCTTTGCTCTCCGTTGTCACCAGTGTCAGGTCGTGCCAGCGTAAGGCTGGTGAATGGCCCTGACGCCTGCACGGGCCGGCTGGAGGTGTTTTACAATGGCACCTGGGGGACAGTGTGCGATGACCACTGGGACCTCAACGGAGCCCACGTGGTCTGCCGGCAGCTGGGCTGTGGGACAGCGCTGTCGGCTGTCGGTGGGGCTCGCTACGGGCGAGGAGCAGACCCCATCAGGCTGGACAACGTACGCTGCACCGGGACAGAGGTGGCCCTTTCGGAGTGCCAGGCACGGCCCTGGGGAACCCACAACTGCGGGCACAGGGAAGATGCCAGCATCGTGTGCTCAGGTATGCTCATGGCTTACATCAGCCGCTGTGGACAACCAAAGGGTTAAACAGCAGGCAGGACAACCATTGCCCCTTCTTTTTGACTGGTAGCTACTTCTTGTTGAGTGGTTGCCCCCTGCTGTTGACTGGTTGCCCCTTCTCATTGACTGGTTGCCCCTTCTTGTTGACTGGTAGCCACTTCTTGTTGACTGGTTGCCCATTGCTGGTTCACTGGGTGTCCTCTGAGTGCACAGTGAGTGTAGGCACCCAGCTCACAGATAGACACAGACATGTGGCCACTGGCCTGTAGGACCCTTAATTTTGAGCTACAGGTAGGTAGAATTGCTCCCTCCTTACCTAATTTTGTGAAGAATTAGCCTCTTCACACCATTGCTCCAGGCAATTTCCAAATGCTGTTCTCACCTTCCAAAGCTCTCCACATCTCCTGGCATCCAGGCTGCAGCTCCCTGGCCACTTCTCAGCCCAGCCACCTCCTGGCTTCACGGGGATGAACCCCTCCATGGGCACAGCCTGTCAGATGCCATCTGGGCTTGCTGAGCAGGAGACCCTGCTCCTAAGCCTCGCTGGCGATGGCATGCTCAGCAAAGACTCAGTGTTTTCTCCCTGGGGGTGTTTGCAGGGCCACCCACTCCAGGTTCAACCCGTACCAGGCTGGTGAACGGCTCAAGTTTCTGCTCCGGCAGAGTTAAGTCCTCCATAATGGCACGTGGGGCACCGTGTGCGACGACAACCGGAGCCTGACGGACGCCAAAGTGGTGTGCAGGGAGGTGGGCTGTGGCCAAGCACTGTCAGCACCGTTTGGGGCTGCCTTCGGGCAGGGATCGGGGCCCACCTGGCTGGACGAAGTGACCTGTGCTGGGACGGAGGCTGCCCTTGCTCTGTGCCAGGCCACTTCCTGGGGAAGCCATAACTGCCACCACGGAGAGGATGCTGGCGTTGAATGCACAGGTATCTCTTTGACTCCTGCCCCATCAGGGCTAGCAGCCAGGCTATCATAGTCTTTTTTTGGTTGGTTTTTTTTGAAGGAGGGGAGAAGTGCAGAAGACCTTTGAAACCGTCCTGGATGTAGATGTCCCCATTGCAGCCCTGCCAACAGAGGCAGGAAGAATCCCCTGATGGGCGAGTGTGTGCTGGGGAAGGGAAGAGGGAGCTTTGGAGGGGATGTCCATCCAGATGCCACCTGCCAGGGTGGGTGATGAGTTTGGGGAGGTGGTGAGCGCCTGAGGGGAGCCTGCTCTTCTCATTTTGTGTGGCCGACCTCCTCACCCTCCAGCCGTGAGGTTCTGGGATGATTGAAGGACCAGGCAACTCCAGCCCTATCGCCTCTTCTGGGACATCCAGATGTTTTTGGCGCTTGTCTCTTTTTCAGAACCAACTCAGGTCCGGCTGGTGAATGGTTCCAGCCGCTGCTCAGGGCGAGTCGAGGTTCACCACCACCAGCAGTAGGGGACGGTGTGCGATGACAGCTGGGACCTGAGCGATGCCGAGGTGGTGTGCTGGCAGCTGGGCTGCGGGCTGGCCGTGGCAGCCCCTGGCAGGGCTCTGTTTGGGCAAGGGCACGATCCCATCTGGCTGGATGAAGTGAACTGCGCAGGGACGGAAGGTGCCCTCACTGAATGAACCTTCAAGCCCTGGGGAGCCCATAACTGCAACCGTGGTGAAGATGCGCGTGTCATATGCTCAGGTAAGCCTGGTCCACATTATGGCTTCAGGGAGAAGGCTTTCTGTAGGTACACTTGCATCTAAATTCGGTTTGCTTCCCTCTCTGTTGTTTTCCTTCGGGTATAACACCATCTCAACAGTCAAAAATACTCAGGAGGTGAGGGAGCTCTGCTTCTGTAGGCATCATATCAATGGACTGTCTGGGTGCCCTCCTGCCTGTTTGTGGTAATCCTCTATCTGAGACCTTAAAACGTCCATTCTCAAGTGGCTTGCCACATCCATCATGCACATCTGCCCTGGATGTTGAAGTGCATGTGGTCAAAGGGGGCATTTGGCCATCGATGTTGGCCATGTGTGGCTGCAGGCTTCTCCAACCTCTATGTCCCAAGCTTCTGGACCTCTAGAAGTAGTCCAAGATGGACAGACACCCCCCCATCCCTCCAGCTTGCAATGGGATGCCAGCCCTGTCTTACCAGAAGACAAAATCTGGGTGACTTCAGGCAATATTTGCAAGGAGCTGCAGTAGAGCAGAGCAAACAGAGAAGCAGCATGGAAGGACTCTCCTCCTTGATGGAGCCAAACCAGTCCAGCCTTCATTTGACTGGAGTAAATAAATGCAGGTTTTTTAAGTCTTTCTTTGTTAGATGTGTTCTCCAAGGGAGTTGTAGTCACCCTAATAGACCTCCAAAGCACGCTTATGGTTTGGACATGGGTATCCAAGAGTCATCTTGGCTTTGCCCAAGGGAAATGCTCTCTATGAGGCATCCCACAGCGTTTTTACCTTCTCCTAAATACAAACGGGTCTTTCTGTTGCTTCTAACTGAATATGCTGATGTGGGTGGGGGAAGCATGATTTTGCACTCACACCTTGTATGGTTGCATGTCATCACCAACACCAGCAGGGCATCTACTTTAGAGGGCCGAGGGGCACCGTGGCCTCATTTATTCATTTGTCTCATTCCCCCTTTAGACGCCATGGAGCTACGGCTGGTGAACGGCCCGAATAGCTGCGCTGGGCGCCTCGAGGTGCTTCACAACCAGCAGTGGGGGTCCGTGTGTGACAACGGCTGGGACATGGAGGATGCCAAAGTGGTGTGCCGGCAGCTGGGCTGCGGCACTCCGATCTCTGCTCCGGGCTGGGCCAGGTTTGGCAGGGGCTATGACCCCATCTGGCTGGAGACAGTCAGCTGCCAAGGGACGGAGGCTGCCCTTACCGAGTGCAGAGCCAAGGTGTGGGGCACCCACAGCTGCCACCACGGGGAAGACGCCAGCGTGGTGTGCTCAGGTGACACCCCCCGCCCCACTGTGTTCCTCCCGCATGTACATAGGGAGAGCTGTGGCACCACTGAGCCATAGTTCCTCCAGAGGGCAAGAGAATAATCATTCCTTTGATAATAATGATAATAATGGTAATAAGGGCAGGGGATGCAAGGGGGATCCCACCACTGCTTCTTCTCCCATGTTCCCTGGCTCATTTTCAGCCCAAGTGGACAACCACTGAGCATCTCCATGGTGTAAATGACCATGCTGGATCCCACAGGAATCCCTGTTTCATGCAGATGTCACATCAGGGAGCCAAGAGTAGAGGGGGCCACAGTGCTGGGTGAGATCCCGTGCCCAGGACCATCTCCACCAGCCCTTCCTGAAGAACCCTTGTTGGTGTCCTTCTTTGTTCCAGACCCGATGGCCCTTCGGTTGGTGGACGGCCCACACCGCTGCGCAGGGAGGGTGGAGGTGCTTCATCAGCAGCAGTGAGGGACAGTGTGTGAGGACGGCTGGGACCTGCGCGATGCCGAGGTGGTGTGCTGGCAGCTGGGCTGCGGGGCGGCAGTCGCGGCTCCGGGCTCAGCTCACTTTGCCCAGGGGCGTGATCCCATCTGGTTGGATGAAGTAAACTGCACGGGGACTGAGTCCGCCCTCTCCGAATGCACGACCAAGCCAAAAGGAGTCCACAAGTGCCACCACAGAGAAGATGCTGGTGTGGTGTGCTCAGGTAGCTGCTGTTCCTCTGTTGATGAGCGTCTGGGTACCAACACTGCAGGAGCTCCAGGACCAGTTTTCCTTGTTTATATCTGATCATGTTCTTTCCACATGGGAATCCTCAAATCTCTGACCCTCATCAAGACAAATGCTGAGCATGTGGGGATTCATCCTCCATCTCACGTCCAGCACTTGCTTTCTCCACCACCACAAGGCGACACCTCTCTCTCATTCCATTTCAGAACCTACTGAGGTGAGGCTGGTGAACGGCTCAAGTCGCTGCTCTGGGAGAGTTGAGGTGCTGCACAACCAGCGATGGGGAAGCGTGTGTGATGACGGCTGGGACATGGACGATGCAGCAGTGGTGTGCCAGCAGCTCGGCTGTGGGGTGGCCATAGCGGCTCCACCCAGAGCTCAGATTGGGATGGGGTACGAGCCCATCTGGCTGGATGATGTGAACTGCACCGGCCCCGAGGCTGCCCTCTCCGAGAGCAGGGCCAGACCATGGGGAGAGAGTAACTGCAACCACCAAGAAGATGCCAGCATGGTGTGCCTGGGTAAGCCACCTCATACTCCATCGTGGTGCAGCTCTGGAAGGAGCAACATTGGTACATGGATAACTCAGTGGAGAACCACCTCCGCTCTGCTCACATTAAGCCTCTTGCCTCTGTGTAGGAACCAATTTCAGGTTGTCTGAGAGCAGCAGCTCCCCTTGGCCACCATGAGGTCTTTTTCCCAGGAGAACCACCACCACATCAGTCCTCCACCACCACCTTGCTCTCGCCTATAACCTGGTCCCTCAGCTCTTCAGCTATGAGCATCCTTTTCTTTTTCATACACGCACGGTGCTAACGTGACACACACTGTCACTGTACCGTAAGGTCCATTGAACCTCCCCTCTACCTTGGGTCCATCTTCTCTGGTTGGACTGCCAGGATATCAGCATCTAGTGCCACTGTGATGCACTGGCCTCCTGCCACCACTCCGGATAGGGGTGGATCTCCCATTGAGCCCTGTGTCACCGCTGCCCCCTCCTCCTGAGTTTCTTGGATGCCTAAGGGCACCTAAAGTGGGATCAGATCCCTGTGTTTATGCCAGTGACAGTCTCCACATCACCTTGCAGGTGGCCACCGTTTGAGGATCCATCTTCCAACCCATGGGCCAGAAACACGTGTGTGTTTGACCTCCACATGTTTTTCATAATTTCAGAACCAGCTCAGCTCCGGCTGGTGAATGGCGCCAGCCACTGCTCCAGGAGGGTTGAGGTGCTTCATAACCAGCAGTGGGGGATGCTCTGCGACAACAGCTGGGACCTGAGCGATGCTGAGGTGGTGTGCAGGCAGCTGGGCTGCGGGGCGGCTGTGTCAGCTGCAGGCTTGGCTCAGTTTGGGCCAGGGTCCAACCATATCTGGCTGGATGATGTTGAGTGCACGGGGGCAGAAGATACCGTCTCCGAATGCAGGGCCAGGACGGGGGAACCCATTAATTGCCACCATGGGAAAGATGCCGGTGTTGTGTGCTCAGGTAATTATTTTTTTTTCTCAAATGTCATTCTTCAGGGAGTGTTGGGCTGCGTGGCCGGAAAGAGGGAGGGTGACTTTGCTGGTGACGTGGTCTCTTCTGAGCCTGGGTAGCACCAAACCCCACAGAAGAGCCAAGGTCGCTCTTCTGCGGAGGTCTGTGCAGCTTGTTCTGTGACTGATCTTGCTGATGAAACCCCGGGGGTGTGGAGGACCCAAGCAACCTGAGAAATACTGAGCACAAGAATCTGAGCAAAGCAATGAGAGACGCATGAACAAGCCTTCGAGGGGACGGGAAGAAAGAGGTTTTATTTAGGGTGAGATGTAGAGTTTGTTGCAATCCAGGAAACCACCAAAAGCTGCTGGATTGAGAGCAGGGTAGGAAGAAGGGACCCATCGTACAAAGACGTCAGTGATCAGGAAGGGAAGAGTTTTACAAATTACACTGCTTTTATCCTTTTCCAGCAAGCATGTCTGAATTTTCTGTATTTCAGCAGTTTTCTTATTGCATCTGATGTTAACTAAAGCCTAGCTTTAAATATCCAACGTCCCTGCGGTGTGTGGGGGTGTTCACTACAATGGCAGGACCAAGCATGTCCTTCTTAAAGGTCCAGGTTGCCAGTGACATAAAAGGAGCAAAAATGGGCAATGGCGATAGCCACTACAAGCAGCACAAGCGTGGAAGGAGACCTCCAAAAAGGGTGTCCACCTTGTCCTGTTTCAGACCCCACAGCGTTGCAGCTGGTGAACGGCTCAAGCCTCTGTGCTGGCAGAGTGGAAGTGCTCCACAAGCATCAGTGGGGAACCGTGTGCGACGACAACTGGGATGAAGAGGATGCTGCGGTTGTGTGCCGGCAGCTGGGCTGTGGGACAGTGGTCTCGGCCCCTGGCACAGCTTGGTTTGGGCAAGGGCGCAATGCCATCTGGCTGGACGACGTGAACTGCACAGGGAGGGAGGACGCCCTTTTGGAGTGCCTGGCCAGGCCATGGGGGACACACAACTGGGACCATGGGGAAGACGCTGGTGTGGTGTGCTCAGGTAATGTGGCCACCGTTGGTTTGGAAAAGGGTCTAGGCATGCCCCAATCCTGGAAAAATTCGAGGTCAGGTTGGATGGGGCTCTGAGCAACATGATCTAGTTGAAGATGTCCCTGCTGATTGGAAGGGGGTTGGACTAGATGACCTAGGGTCTAGAGCACAAGTCTTATGAGGAGTAGCTGAGGGAACTGGGATTGTTTAGTCTGGAGAAGAGGAGGCTGAGGGGAGACCTTATCACTCTCTGCAACTACCTGAGAGGAGGGTGTAGCGAGGTGGGGGTTGGTCTCTTCTCCCCTGTAAGTATCAATAGGACAAGAGGAAACAGCCTGAAGTTGCGCCAGGGGAGGTTTAGATTGGACATTAGGAAAAATTTCTTACCAGAAGGGTTGTCAAGCACTGGAACAGGCTGCCCAGGGAAGTGGTGGAGTCCCCATCCCTGGTGGTATTTAAACAACGTGTAGACGTGGTGCTTAGGGACATGGTTTAGTGGTGGGCTTGGCAGTGCTGGGTTAACAGTTGGACTTCATGATCTTAAAGGCTTTTTCCAACCTAAACAATTCTGTGATTCTGTGACCTTTAAAGGTCCCTTCCAACCCAAACTCTTCTATGCTGGTGTGATCTCCTTGCTCAAGCTCATAGAGTGCATGTCTGCCAGTGGCTCAGGAGGCAGAGACAGGGATGTGCATGCTGGAGAGCAAAGATGGGCTTTCATTCATGGTCATCAGTCATATGTTTGTAGACCCCACTGGAATTGTCTTGAGCACCATGGCCAGCAACATCATCTCAGGATGAGGGTTCCCGAGTATGCAGTCAGCACAAGTGGGAGGGGAATGATCCTGATTGTAGGAAATGTTACAATGAAAACTTCCAGGAGGAAAAGCTACAGCATGGGAATATCCTCCTGGCTGAGCTGGGAAGGTGAAGGCCATGGTTGGTGTTGGAAACACTTGTCCCAGCATCCAGCCTTGCCCTTCTCTTCCCACCTAACTTCAGAGAAACCTCAAGGCTTCTGTGGTCCCCTCAAGGCCAGTGGGAACAGAGAGGTATCTCCATGTCCTAAGAAGGATGTCTGCATCCAGTGAGTTATCCAGGACTGGATGCAATTGTTTGGGAGCCACCTGGACTCAAATGAACTCTCCTTGGGGAGAGTACCACGTGGGTGGTACATCCTGCTGGCACCTCTCTCTTAACTGGTCACCCAGGCTTATTTGAGAGAAATGAGTGACCATGGGATGTGGTTTGCAGAAGGGACCATTCTGCAATCATCCAGCCCCGGTAGGCCCACCAGGAATAAGCCACTCTGCTGACTGCCCTGCTTGGAGCAGTCAGAGCTTGGCAGCTTGAATGGCCTTGGCTTCCCCAGCGGTCCGCCCTTGAAACACAGACAGTCGTGGTGCAGCAGGCGGTGCATGGATGTGGGCGTTGAACATCCACGACCAGTGCAAAGGTGCTACAGCACCGTGGGCACCATGCCTGATGGTGACAGGGTCTTAGCAGAAGCTCTCTTTTTATCTCCTTTCCTGAATCATACGATGACAAAACAATGCAGATTGGAAGGGATCTCTGGAGAGCTGTGGTCTAACCTTCCACTCTTTATTAGACCAACTAGACCATGTTGTTCATGGCCTTGACCAGTGAAGATGTGAAAGTCCCCAAGGATGGAGATCCAAATGCCTTTCTCATCTTTGTTACAATAGTTAACCGTCCTCATGGAGGAAAAGAGTATTTTCCGCTGCTTAATAGGCATTGCCACAACGCACAGTGTGCCAATTTCCTCACGTCCTTGTGATGTCTGTTTGTCTCTTGAATTAGCTCTGGGTGAAAAGATGTTGGCTTTCTCCCCACAGGCTCTGTTACCATCAGACATCAGCCGTTGCCACTGCTCCCACTGCTGGTCTCGATCATCCCTCCAGTCTCGATGCTGGTCTGCGGGGCTCTTCTGTACCAGAGGAGGAGGCGAATGCAAAATAGGGCTCTTAATTCCCCCCAAGGTGAGCTCCACTGTGGGTGAAGAGGGCAGCAGAGTTTGCAGAAGTGTGTGGTTGGAAACGAGTTTTGTTCAAAACATTGATGTCAGCAGAGTTGGGGCAGAAGGTTGTTTTTTTTCCCTGTGGTTTGTGTTGAAAGGAACTTCCTTTTCTGCTTTGACCTTTTCCCATCCCTGTCCTCTTTCTTTCCACTCTTCCTCTTTCAATTTGACACCGTCTTCCCTGCTGGGTGACGGACACACTGGGAGGTGGGACAGCCCTTGAAGCCTCCTCAAACACTGCCCGCGCTTCCCTCTGCTGCCTGCGGTTCCTGAACGTCAAACAGGAATTCTGTGAGTTCCTAGCTCCCCGTGGGCAAGGGATGTTCCACCTTTAGCCCGAGGGGTGAGACAAGACCAGGAATTGTGTCTGTTCCTGATAGTTTAGGGCTGCCATGGAGACTCTTGGAAAGTGGGGTTGAGCAGTTGGGGTTGCCAGTGTTGAACATCCACATGTTGCCTTGTTGAACGTCCGTCATGTTGATGGAAAGGTGCTGTGCGTGGGCCAAATGCTGGGTCAAGGGTGGTTTCTGCAAAGCAGGCTTCATTTCTGAGTGCTGGCAGGGGCGATGGCGGTATGACCTGTGCTGCCACTGTTGTTGCTCCATCCAAAGTGATTTGTGCTGTCTCCAACGGAGCGAGCATCCCTGGCTGATCTTGTTAAAAAGGGTGAAATTCAGGCTGTGTGGGGCACAGTTGATTGACTCACTGCGCTTTGCAGGTTTTGTGCACATGGAGGAGCTGGTTGTCTCTGACACATCCATCTCAACGCCTGGAGAAGAGCAAGCCAAGGTGACTCCTGCTGGGGATGCCAACAAGAATGCTCAGCACAGCCTATGACCAGCCCAGACCTAAAACTCCAGGTGACGCAGCTCCATCCCTGCACACAGCTCATTCACCAAGGGCCCTGGACCACTTCATCTCACTCGATCCACCACCCACCTCCATGCCCACCTCGGTCAGTTACCCTGAGCAATACGAGACGTGACACGCACCGTGCGGCAGCAATGGTCTGCACGCAGAAGACATTTAATGCGTAGAAATTTAATTTTTTTTCCAAATTTTTCCTTCAAATTTTTTTTTTTGGTGCATTTTTGAAAATAAAAACATTCTCTAAGACTCGAGCAGTGTTTTACTGTTAGAGGGTTTTTTCCTTCTTTTTTTTTTTATAGCCAGACTGCAGTGAAGGCTGCAAAGTTTACCCTGAAGTATATGCCAGGGGCCTG